CTTTGATCTGCATTTAATAAGTCTTAAAATTTTCGCCTTTCCCCCTCGTTTTTTCAATATATTTATCGTGAACTTTGATGGAGTGCATCGTTTTTGCACAGTTTTGCACACTAAATCTGTGCATTGAGGGTAAAAAGTGACTTATTTAAAGTATATGGACGTAGGTTTTGTTTGCATTCATTTCCCTTCCCATTCGCAAATTGCAATCAGTGTTGCCAGAACTTTTTGGACGATCCGGCTAAATTGGCAAATATAACCGGCTAAAAACGGCTAAAATGTTTCAACTAAATTTCACATGTTTTATTTAAATAAATCACGAGTAAAAAAACTATTTCTTGGAGAGAAGTTACAAATTCGAGCCGGAAAAAAATTTGCCAGCAAGAATTTGCATTATTGTGGCACATGGTAGGATTTTTTGTCGACGATAATTTGAATAAACAAGTTCGTTAAATTTAAAAATGTTCAAACTGGAGCGATTTGAAAATGAAAAGTGTATGTTAATACTTGTTTACTTAATTAATTTAGTTAATTCCAATGATTTGAAAGGTACTCGGCAAAAAATACTGTATTCTTAATCGGAATGCAATCTCAACCAGAGTCGATATAGTAAACTCGACAAAGAAATTGAAACGTATGTTGAAGAAAGTCGGACTGACAAGATATTTACACGTAGATCCTGTTTTTTGTCCCTCAGAAAGAATTTTAAAAATTCTATGCAAATTTCTTTTGTTTGAAATGCAACCGTGGACACTAGCTGGCAGAAAAACTTGCAAATTTGCGTTCGTACAGAAAATTGCAAGTTTTTTTACTATTTGATATTTTGAGTGACAATTCTCGCTGGATTTTCGACGAACAAACCTATTGTCTTCCCTACAAGGCCTTCTCAGACTGACCGATTCTCAATGCACTCAAATAGAAACCAATACACATAAAAAACGCTGTAAAAATTTCCCTTCAATTTTAAGGCAGTAAAACAACGACCTTAAGTTAACCGAGTTAAATCAACCGAGGCCATATGTTGACAAGGGATGCAAAATCACAGTTACACAAAAGAACTGGTCAGATTTTTCAGAAATCCCTTCTGATGTAAAATATGATGCCAAAAGATTGCAGATATCCCACTTAGATGACCGGTCATATGACCGGCAGATGTCTCGTAGGATTCCCAGAGAGTTTTGCTTTACATAGAAATTGGTGCTCTTTTATTTTCATTTTGACTCACTTCAATGTTGGTTCCTTTAATTCAAGTTGGCATTCGGTTTTTGGAATTTAAATAAGTTCCCAGCAAAAAACTTTGTTTAAAAAAATACATATGTGTACATAGTGCTTGAAAATATCCATTTTTCAATTACCTTAAACCTTTGGGAGTGGCAAAAATTATGTTTTTGTAATTTAGGCACTATATACAAACACAAACGCATCTTAAGTGTCTTAATAGTGAAACAATTTCTTATTTTCTAAGTTTGCGAATAAAACTTCACACTTAAAATTAAGACATTTATAATAAACATTTTATGAAGAAAATCTCTTCTTCGCTTAAAATAAAAATAAGCGAAATCGGCCCAATTTCATACAACCCTGCCTGACATGAAAATTTTCTCCACGATAAGGCTAATAGCCATTTCTAACAGATTTTGGGTCGCTTAGTCAAAAATGGAAACATATGTATATACATATTTGAAATTTAAGAAAACAAGGCAAATAGCAAAATCGGCTAATTTTTTTCTGCAAAACGGCTAACAAATCGGCTGCCGGCTAAATCGAAATTTCTCCGGCTGTTTGCTATCGCAACCGGCTAAATCTAGCCCGAAAACGGCTAAAATGGCAACACTGATTGCAATTTACGTGACCACTATAGTACGTCAAACATATGAAGAATAATGTTTCAACAATATTTATTGAAGCTATATTTTTTTAAGTAAATTTCAGTACTACTGATAAGTATTCGATAATGCAGTTTAAATGTATTTACATAATTGTTATCCAAACCTTGGAGGAGGTACAGTGGTCAAGAATTGTAAAAACCCATAAGCGCATGTGGTCAAAAAGCAAGTCGGTTAAAACATAGATTTTCATTCTTGTTACGTGTAAAGGATACCTTAGAGTAGGGATGCCCAAATCAGCACATATGTGTCGCGGGCGACTGCGCGTGCAAGGCTTTGCACAGCGGTGCTGGGCAAGCGCGGAAGCAAAAAGTTATCGGAAGGGGAAAACGAAGTCAACAGAATAGTGAGATTGTATGTGTGACAGCGATGGAAAATGAGTGTGCATTGTGCCATTTTCGGCCCTTTCGGAAGCAGCCGGCACCTTCAGCACAATCGATTAATTTTCGGCACTATTTTTGCGTAACTCAATGCAACTAATAAATATTTCTTTCGGATCCGCAATTAAAAATATTATTTTTTACATTTAATCGTATGTGCTTAAACTGATAAATGATATAAACATAGAAACGCAAGCAGAATAATCTCGCTTCCACATTCTGCATATGCGCTTAACATTTTTGTTTAAACAAATTTGTCGAAATTTCATCTCTAAAGCAAATATTAAAGATCATTTAATATATACTTTAGATTTAAATAATGATTTTTAGTGGTGGGCGAGTCCGAGATGTTTAAATGATCGGGATAGTACATTCAATTCGCGTAGATTTTTGAGAACTTTTTTCGTTGAAGGTGTTGCACTTTTTCTTTCATACTGAAATTTTTGTACATCCAATTTGTATAAAGAAAATGCAAAAAAATATTAAAAATCAACATGAATTCTTAGCTGCACTTTCACTTTATAATACTACAAGTAATTTTTAGCAAAAAAAAACCGACTTCAACTCTCATATAAAAAA